ATCAGGATTCTCCACCTTAGGGATGAGGGCAATCAAACTGCTAGCCATTCCTTTAGGAATAGGAATGCCTAGAAAAAACTCATGTACAACACTAACAACATCAGAGGCAACAATCTCTCAACATTTTTTAAAGAATTTACCATTGAATCCATCAGGACCTGGAGCTCCATTTTGATTTAATCCCCAAACTGCCTCTTTAACCTCCTTTTCATCGATCTGGCAATTTTGTAAGCATATTATTGTCATCAACTCATCATCATTAACTAATCTGGGAATGAAATGCAGGATTGAGGAAGAATCAGTCTGCTCCTCCACAGAATAAAGATCTGAGAAGTAAGACACTGCAGCAGTTCCCATATCAGATAAAGTATCAACCATAACCCCTGCACAATTGTGAATTCCAGAAATCTGTTGTCTCCTGTGCCTAGTTTTGACAAAAGAATGATAATATTTGGTATTCGAGTCTCCCTCTTTAAGCCATTGGATGTGGGCTTTCTGTTTCCCGTATTTCCTTTCAAGATTATATTTAGATTTGAGCAAAGCAGATAACTGAAACCATTTTTCCCTCTTTTCATCACTAGGATCTTCTGCAAAATCTTTTTCAGCCTGTGTCACTCTCTTTTCACAATCAGAAATGGCATCAAAAATGTTACCAAACACTTTTTTATTCCAGTCCCTTAATTCATGTTTCAAGCATTTAAGCTTAGCTACTAAACCATGCATACCACCTCCAAACATATTTTGAGACCAGGATCTCTTTACTAATGCCATAAAAGAAGGGTGGGTCAGCCAGATATTCTGAAATTTAAAGGATTTGGGTCCATATAACCCCTCCTTAGAGCAATGCATCAAAAGGGGACTATGATGAGATGGAGTTTTATCAAGGATGTTTATTTGAATAGAGTCAAATAAATCCAGCATTTTAGCATTAATAAGATATCTATCTAATCTTCTCCAGACCCTACCACAGGATCTAATTCCAGTCCAGGTAAAAGTAGGGCCTTGGTAAGGAAGATCAAGTAAATCACACTTATCAATGCACTCAGAAAATTCCAAAATGCTGTCAACATTAGGAATGGCTGAACCCAAGTGTTCACTGATCTTATCAAAAGCATTAAAATCACCCCCTAATATCCAAGGCTCATTCATGTTGGTAGCAATATTACATAGATAATCCCACATCTCCCTTCTCACAATATGATTGTGCTTTCCATAGATAGCAGTCATCCAACCAGAAAAATTACTACCTTTGATGTAAAAATGCACCAACTGTCTGTGCCAATGTACATCAGAGATAGTAAAATCATTTGTATTCCAAAAGACCCAGATCTTATTCAAATTAGAATACAAAGCTTTATTATATCCCAACTCCTTCATATAGTAATCTGCCCTGGTAGAGCAGACTATAGGCTCAATGACACAAAGGATATTCACATGATGTTGTCTAACAAGGGTTTGGAGTCTGGCTAATGAATTATCCGGACCTCTAACATTCCAAGTTAAACAATTCATTGAGATTGATGGGATGAAATTTGAGACAGCAACTGTTCATTACCATGATCTAAAGTTGCTGAAGTATTATTCTGTTTAAGTTTCTTGGCTGCATTCCTTGTAAGTCTTGAATTATTATCAGCTTGTTGATTTTGTTGGACTTTCTTTGTTGTCACAGTTTTAACAGCTGCAAAATCAACAGCATCAGACTGAGTCTTCAACAAGGTATCTGCATGGGTTTGACTCATATCTCCTTGGTTAATTTTCTCCCTGACTAAATTCTCTGCCATATCTTGAACTTTGACATGAATTTCAGGCCAACCTTCTTTCCAATTCTCCAGAGGCTGAGGATGAACATTCAAATCCCCATCGGAGTGAGTCATTTTAGGAACCAGTTCTGGGTCAAAGCTTGTTTTTTTGTCCATTACTTGCAGATAAAAGTCATCTCTAATTGAAGTAGGAAGATTATTGGGTTTAACCAACCAAGGAATCTCCATCTGCAGTAATGCATGTAACTTTGTATCTTTTGCAGGATTATATTTAATTGTAGAAGCCCCAGGTGCCTCCCCTTCTGAGATATCAACTGCCTCTGATCCAATAGGTAATAAGTCGACTTGTCTTGAACAAATTCACCTTTATTAAGCAGAACTTCACCGGTATTTGACTCTATGTAAACCTCTTCTGCTTCAGAGTCTGAATCAAGGTTTAAGGAAGAACCAACATCAGAAGCTTTATCTTTAACGCCAGAAGTGGATGGAATGCAATCAGCCACAATAGCCTTACCTTTGTCACCATTAATTCCAGTGGCTATTTTCCTTTGATCCCCGTCTGTAATAACAACATTCCTTCCATTGTTCTTTTGTTTTTGCACCCATTTTCCAGTGGGAAGTTTAGGAATTTTCCCCTGCTCCTTAGTTGTAGTGTTCTCCATAATCCCAACATTGTTATTACCAGCATTCGGTCGCTTGGGGCATGCAGCATCAGAATGTCCTAAATGCAAACATCTACCACAGTAAAAGGGCCTATTCTCATACCCCACACTTTGACAGAAGCCAAAAGAGCCACACCGAATCCATAATTTCTTAGGCATCTCCTTTGTGAGATCAACCTCAGCAAAAACCCTAGCACCCGAAGGTTTAGCTAAGGATGCAGTAGCAGCATCAAGTTTGAGGGGTTTACCTATTAATCTTACAATATCAAATAGAGCATTCTTTTCAAATTGATGAATAGGCAGATGAATAGGCAAATTATATTTGTACACAAAAGTTGTACACAAGTTGTACATTGTGTGTGTTCACAGATAATTGATATGTTTATTTTAAAAGAATTGTTTGTGTACACAAATAGATTGTGCACATCCCACTTTTTTGTGAATTACCAATGCAAACATTGTACAACTGGTGTACAAATTTTGTGTACAACTAGATTGGTCGTCATTTTTTATATATGCGCACATATATGCGTAGTATTATATTACTAGGTACTAATCTAGCCTATGAGCTCAATATTAATTGTCAAACGGTAAGTCTATAATAGTTGTTATACCGTGGGAGCAGCTCACAATTACCATGGTGCTTCCACTGCACTACCAAAACACGCGTGTATTGTTCACGCGTGAACAATAATTTTTGTTTGTTTATTCTTGTCCTAGTAGTAGAGTGATGTAACTTAATTGTGTGTAAAGAAATGTAACTCACGTAAGAAATGTAACAACAGGCAAATCAAAATGTAATTTGTCTAATAGGAAGTATAAGAAATAAAACATTGATTTCAAAATAAACAATGAAAACAAGGAGCCTAATTGCTCAATTACTTTACGTAAATAGTGAATATGTTTTTCTTAATATTAAGACCATAAAAATGTTTTTTATTAAGAAAACAAAATTTTTAAACAAAAATCATTTTTTTCCCAAAAAAATGTTTATTTATTTGTTTCAATATATAGCAGAGGTTTATTTAGTGATGTAACTGGTGTTATGAAAAATATAAATCGCGTTGATGAAAATCTAACTTAAGTGTATGCAGAATGTAACTTGTTGAAACAAGTCCAAATATAACCGAACATAGGAAGATGTAAGTCACGTGCCATATGTTTTTTTTTGTTTTAATAGCACGAGTTTATTTTGTGATGTAACAACTCGCGTTATGGAAAATCTAACTTAAGTAATGTATGTAAAATGTAAAATTGTTGAGGCAAATCCAAGTGTAACTCATGCATAGGAAGATGTAACTTGATCACAAGATGATGTAACTCTATATACTTCAAATGTAACTCCAGAAATTGTCTATAAACATATCACACACATGTGAAAAATGTAAACCACAATATATATGAAGATGTAATCTCATATTTTATCAAATGTAAATCGAAATAAACAAATTTAATGTCTTGAAAACATTAAAAATATATAAAAGAAATAAGAAATATGTAGTATCTTATAGGAAAAAGTGTATGATTATGAAAATATACTACGTATATTACAAACAAGTGTATAATACAAAAGAATATTAAAGAAATAAAATTAGTGTATGAATGTGAAATATAATTATATACTTATTTTAATTAGATCAATATTTTTTTGTTATGAATTGATAAAATGAAAAAAGTAAATGGAGTTGTAATTTAAGTTGAAGATAAAGAAAAGTGAAAGTGTAATTACACTCTTAGTATTTGATGGAGATAGAAAAAGAATTGTAGAAAAAGAAAATAGAAAAGAAGAGGTAAAGAGAATAGAAGATACGTACATGGAATGAAACAAAATAAATGACTAAATGGGATAAGTGGCTAACTATTTTGGGACGGAAATCTAAAGGGAAATTTAATCCGAAAAACTAAATGCCTATATTAAATTACTCATAATGGTTGTATTATAGCTAGGAAGTACATGGCCTCATCTTTAAATTCTGCATCAAAACTTTGTAATGGAAGCTGATAGTAATATACTACCTCTATTCTTTTTTATTAGTCCTCTTAGACTTTGACACGAGTTTTAATAATAAAGTAGTAGGGTAAATGATAAAGTAGGAAAGATGATATATTAAAAAGAGTAAAGTGATGATAAAGTAGGAAAGAGAGTGTATTAAGAAGAGTAAAGTGATTGTAAAGTAGAAAAGATAAAGTAGTTTGTAAAAAGTAAGTGGGGTAAAAGTAATAAAAGTGGGGGTATTTTCTCAAAAATTTTCCTTAAAGGGAAAGGAGGACAAATAAAAAAGAACGGAAGGGATATACGATAGTATATAGTAATAATATTGAAAAATATTAACGACGATTATCGACCAAATCTCTCAAAAGATAAATGTACATGACCATATTAGTGGTGGACTTGTTGCATGCCCGCTAGCTCAGGACCGGGATCGAGATCACACCGGTTTCATTTCTATTTTGTTTCATGCACATATATGCATATTTTTAACGCTTAGAATGCTTTTTGTGTGTGAAACTGCAGATATATTTGACTTATAAATAAGCCATTGTGCCGGCCGTTATACTCCGATCCTATATATACATACGCGCTCACTATATATATATAGTTTCGCATCCCATATCTCTTAAGATATTATTAATTATTTATTATTCCACATTTCCACTTTTTCTAACTAGGTTGCCGGCCGGAAACCTACAGCCATGTCGGAGGAGAACAGACAGTCTTCCTATCCGGACAGCACGACAGGCTTTGGCGGTGATATAAACAGTAACGACACTTATGAGAAGCCCTACGACCAAGAAACTGCCGCCGGCTATGGAGGGGATGATATGTGCCAAGAAACTGCCGCCGGCTATGGAGGGGATGATATGTGCCAAGATACCGCCGCCGGATATGGAGGGGATGATATGTGCCAAGAAACTGCCGCCGGCTATGGAGGGGATTATTCCTGCATGAATGAGAAGCAGACCACTACTGAGGATGGGTATGGTCAAGACTCGTGCGGCGGCGGTGTTGACTATTATTTTGAGGACAAGCCTGCCGGGAAAAGCCATGAGGATTTCGAAAAGGAGAAAAAACACCACAAGCATCTCCAGCAGATTGGTGAGCTTGGCACCGCCGCCGCCGGTGCCTATGCCCTGGTATACTACCACTACAACATTTAAGGGCAACGGCAACGGCAATTTTTTTCAAACCCATAAAACTGTTGCTTTATACTATTATAGACCACAATTTTTTAAAGTGCTGCCAAAGTAGATAAATGTTTCTAGTTTTAAAATGCATCACTAAAATAACCGTCCCCTAAGAGGAGTGGGCAACGCTTTTTTTTAAATGGGCTTTCCACGCTTAAGAATTGTTGCCCTTTAACCGGGTTAAAATTTCGACGCGCGAATAATTGTTTAGTTGGCTCTTATTTTTTTGTTAACCGTCTGCCCTGTCTGTACCAGAACAAACGAGTAGCAAGTTCAAAATACTAAAAAAGGAAAATGATTCTCTTCTCACAAATCTCACCAGACTTCTTCTAGGTTTACGATGGATCGCTCAATCAGACCGCTCCTCAAATCCAAATGGTTTATCAGACTATCTGAACGCAGCTTAATCTGCATCTCCCTATTTTCTCACAGATCGGCCGATATCACCTTCACGAGTGCACGCCTCCCATACTCGCTCTGAAGTTGTCTTCCAGGTAAGTTTTTTACAAGTTGGAGTTCGTTGATTCCTACTAATCAACCTTTTGCTTATAATATGAAAGTAATAAATTGGAGTTCGTTAATTTCTACTGATTAATTGGTGTAGATTAGGTTCAATTCTAATTTCTAAGTATTTTGGAACCTCTCGTAAGAATGGTTTCATTTTAATGTGAGATTTGCTAAATTTTGGATCGAATAGTACAAATAGGGATAACCAGTCCCAGTTTTACATCTAAATTTTGGATCGAACAGTGATTTTCTAATGTTCAAATTGATGGCCGGTTTTGGATGGGCTGGTTCCTCACCCCCAGTAGCAATCATAACCCTTACCAATTACAGAGTATTATGATCGATTTTGCTGGTTCTGATCCATTTAAGGTAGTTTGACTCAACTTTTGTTTAAATTTTTTGATATATCATTACAGTTTACGACATATACATACAGTGTATTACTTCAAATTGTGGTCTTAGTGCTTCAGTCGTCACATGTACTAGATTCATCTATTTGTTAGACTATATTACCTCTATTAAAGTGTACTTCAATTGATGATCTAGGTACTTCAAACGTACTAGATAGTGTATGTCAGTTTGCTCCTAAATTGCATCTGTTACACTTAATTCACATGTACTTCTAGTATGTACTTGAAGTACACTATTGAACACAATCATCGATAGTCCATTTGTTAGACTAAATTACCTCTTATTTACTTTTGCACGTGTATTACATTTAGTATTTCTTTAGTGCTTCAAATCATGAGGTCAATCCATGATTTTAAATTCATGGATGAACATTCATTGGTTGGATTGTGATATGTGACCCTACTTAAAAGAGCTTTAAAATGGAGACCTGCACTATATTAACCAAGTTATGACATTAGGTATTGTAATACTTGGTGACATGCTCCATATCCCCCAAATGTGTGAAAACAAAGCACAATTGTTAATTTGTTATAAGAATCGGGATTTAAAACCAAATATGGGCAAGTAGGTTTATGTACATCATGTTCTTTTCATTTACAATTTTGATTCTTTATTTTTTTTCAAACCTCTATCACTTCTCATGAGTAAATTTTTAATGGAAAATGATGAACGTGTTTCTAGGCTTTATGTTTATCAAGGACTTAGTAAAGATGATATTGTATAAATGTAATATACCTTCATGTTATACATACATCAAGTTTAAAACATGTCAGGAACATGCACGTAAGATAAGTAACAAAAGTACCCTCACTAAGTCTCTTTAAAACATCTTTAGCACCACTATAAAAAGATGCATCATGATTGTAACATTGAGTTATTTAACTTTGTAAGAAAAATGATACGTTTGTATACTTCATATAGGAAACACAATATATAGATTTTGGGGACATAATAAATGAATTTTCCTTATCATTTAGGTCTCCTTTTCTCAGGCGTTTTGGGTATTTTTAAGTTCATAATAATGGAAAAACATTATATATGAATGGTTGTTCTTGAAACAAGGTAAACAATCAAACTTTGTTTAGATATGATAAGTATACTTCTGCCTTTTGTTTTTATTAATATGTTCATATTCAAGGTTTAGATACCCTACTTATTACTATGTCCTGAGAAACTGTAAAAGGAAAAAAAGTGCTTTAACAAACTGTAAGAGGAAGGGCTTAATTTAATAAAATCTAAAAGCTTATAAAAGTGTTGTATGTATATGTGTGTATAATATTTTTTTAGTGTTCATCCTTGCTATTGATGATTTTCTAGTACACTAAATGGACAAGGAATGGATGAAATTAGCAAGATACAGTGCAGAATACATTAACGGTGTGGAGTATTTTCTAAATTATGCATATACAAGAGGAAATCCTCAAGGAAAAGAGATTTTGTGTCCATGTATTAAATGTCATAATGCCTTATGGATGACTAGAGCAACAGTTTTCGATCATTTAATAGCATACGGATTTGAAAGAGGTTATAATGTTTGGGTTCGTCATGGTGAGGAGCCAATTAACCCCAAGAACATTGACGGTTATTTGGATGGTGAAGATGATGAAATAGATGATATTGATGGACTACTCAATGATAGATTCAGGGGGGTGGCAGAAGAACAATATGAAGATAATGGCAGCCTCAATGGTGATGCTGAAAAGTTCTATAGCCTAATAGAAGATTCCAAGCAAGAGTTGTTTCCGGGATGCCAAAACTTTACTAAGCTCTCATTCACTATCAGACTGTACTTGTTGAAGTGTCTTTACAGTTGGAGCAATGTATCATTCAACGCTCTTTTAGAGTTGTTGAAAGAAGCTATGCCTCACTTGAATATTCCTGATACAGCAGCTAAAACTAAAGGGATGATAAGAGACTTAGGGTTTGATTATAAAAAAATTGATGCTTGTCCGAATGATTGCATGCTCTACTGGAAAGAACATGAGAGAGACACTTGTTGCTATGTATGTGGTGCTTCACGGTGGATTGAAAATACAGAAGTCAATAATGAGGAAAACACTAAGGCTCACAAAGTTTCAGCTAAAATTTTGAGACACTTTCCATTGATTCCCAGACTGCAGAGGCTTTTTATGTGTTCAAAGACAGCTAGCTCATTAAGGTGGCATGAAGAAGAACGTGTGAAAGATGGTAAATTGAGACATCCTGCTGATGGGGAGGCGTGGAGAGATTTTGATAAACGCTATCCAGAGTTTTCAATGGATTCACGTAACATCCGACTTGGTTTAGCTAGTGATGGATTTAATCCATTTCGAACCATGAATCTATCTCATAGTATATGGCCAGTGGTATTACTACCATATAATTTTCCTCCTTGGTGGTGTATGCAAGCTGATCATGCCATTCTCTCTTTATTAATTCCCGGACCACAATCACCTGGATATAATATTGATGTGTACCTCCAGCCGTTGATTGAAGAATTGAAGGTGTTGTGGGATTTCGGAGTAGATACGTATGATGCATCCCTAAATCAAACTTTCCAACTAAGGGCAGCTCTCTTGTGGACTATCAGTGACTTTCCCGGATATGCTATGTTGAGTGGGTGGAGTACAAAAGGAAAATTAGCTTGTCCTTGTTGTAATTATAACAAAAACTCCACTTATCTGAAGTATAGCCGAAAGATGTGCTACATGGATCATCGTGTATTTTTGCCTATGGATCATAAATACAGATTAAACGTAAGGGACTTCAATGGGAGGACAGAATTTAGACCTCCGCCAGCTTTGTTGAAAGGAGAAGATATCTTTGAATCCTTAAAAAACTTCAAAAATGTATTTGGTAAGACAAAAAAGAAAAGAAAGAAGAAAAAGAATCATCCCAATGATCCATGGAGGAAGAGATCTATTTTTTACGAGTTATCATACTGGAAGCATAACACATTACGTCATAATCTTGACGTGATGCATATAGAAAAAAACGTATTTGATAATATAATTGGGACTTTGTTAGATATCCCTAAAAAGACAAAAGATCATGCAAATGCTCGTTTTGATTTAAAACACATGGGTATTAGAAAAAAGCTTCAACCAGAAGAGACAAATGAAGGTAAAAGTATCAAGCTTGCACCTGCATGTTTTTCTATGTCTGCTGATGAGAAAACAACATTTTGTGGAGTCTTAAAGGAAGCGAAAGTACCCGATGGTTGTGCTTCTAACATTTCAAGATGTGTTCAACTTGATGACAGGAAGGTTACTGGCTACAAGACGCATGATGCACATTTTATGATGCATTACTTGCTTCAAGTAGCTGTGAGGAGTACCATGCCAGATCAAGTTGCCCACCCTTTAATTCGTCTATCTTCATTTTTTCGGTGTTTATGTCAGAAAGTTATTGATGTGAATGATTTGGATATTCTGCAATCAGAGATTGCAGAAACACTTTGTCAATTTGAAACAATTTTTCCCCCAAGTTTCTTTGATGTGATGGTTCATTTGCCCATACATTTAGTGAATGAGATAAAATTGGGTGGTCCAGTTCCATTTCGGTGGATGTATTTCCCAGAAAGATATTTAGGTAGACTAAAAAGCTATGTCCGCAACAAAAGTCGTCCAGAAGGTTCTATTGCCGAGGGATACTTGGTTGAAGAATGCTTGACATTATGCTCCCAGTATTTGCATGGTAGTGTGGAGACACGACTTAATAGAATGAAAAGGAATGGTGATAGATGTGAGTCCAATGAGATTGAAAATCCAACCATCTTTTCCAGCATTGGTCAGCCTATTGGAACAAAGAAAAATGGCAAAGCTATTTATTTGGATAGCAAGTCAAGGAGTCAAATTCACCGCTACATATTATTCAATTGCGACGATGTCCAGAAATTTATCAGGTGAATAATTCTTTCTGTAGGCTTTGAGTACATAAATACTAATCTGTTAGTTATTCCAACTTTTTGTTTTGATTGCAGGGAGCATGAAAATGAATACTCAAAACAGAAAAGAAAAAAGTGGAACAAATCAAAGGCTCAAGGGAAAGAGTTCGTTGAATGGTTCAAAAAGCGTGTTCTATTAAGCGATGTATCTGAACAAATGAAGGAGTTATCTAGAGGACCAAATACAGTTGCATGTCGTTTTTCTGGCTATCTCATTAATGGTTATAGATTTCATACAAAGCAACGAGATGCACGACGTAAAACCCAAAATAGTGGTGTGACATTGGTGTCAATTGCTGAAAGTTTTGCAAGTACTAAAGATAGAAATCCAATAACAGACTCACTTACCTGCTACGGATCAATTATTGAAATAATTGAAGTAGATTATTATGGGCATTTTAAGGCTGTGTTATTTCGCTGTGATTGGTTTGAAGTTGAAGAGGATAAGTATGGTTTGATTTGTGTTCATTTCAACAAGAGATGTTTTCTGGATGATTCGTTTGTGCTCGCTTCTCAAGTGCATCAATGCTTCTACATTCAAGACCCTTTTAATGCAAATAGGAATTACGTCATGAAGACTATCCCGAGGGATTTTCTTAATATCAAAGAACCATCAGATTCAAACTCTCAACAGTTTTATCAAAGTGAGCCATCAGATCATCCAGTAAACCTAGCTACAAGTGATGACAACATTGAATTCGAGTTGGTAAGGACAGACATGGAACCGACAGTTGTTGAGAATTATTTGCATTTATTGAATGCAACAGAATCTGAAAATGACTCTGAGATTTAGATGAACCTCTTTTGGAATAGTTTTTTTTTAAGTATTATTGTACTCTCTGTTGGACTCGTTTCTTAAAAGTCTTATTTTATAAATTTGTGTGCCTCTATATTCTGTTATCACATATATGTATTGTTATATTTAATAAAGTAAATTTTGTTTTATTATTTATGAAGTAGTGTTGGTTACGGTTATCTGTAATGTAAATGTAATGATGAATATCCTTGTAAAAATGCTTTAAAATTGCACTTTTCTAGCATTAACATTTGCAGGAAAATGAACCAAGAGACTGGATCTGGTCTTGATTTTCAAGTTGAGACTAGTGCTGAACTACTTCAAAAGTATAAACTTAAGGTAGAAAATATTACTGCTTCCAGAGGAAAAAAGGGAAATGCTGCTAGTAAAGAAGTGCAGAAAAATTTATTGTTTAATCAAGCAAATGCTCAGGTGAAATCTAAGTAATTTATGTGTTCCTATTTCTCGATTTTCATATTGCAATTTCATTAGCTTTTGGGTATATCTTTCTTCTTGTAGGTTACCAAAAGTAAAAGAGGTGCTTCAAATCCAACTCAACGAGAAAATGTTGTAGCTGTAAGACAAAGCAAGAGAAGTGCTTTAGAACAAAATACAAACAAGGATTTCAACTTTAACCGAGTAAAACCTCAGGTGAAGAAATTTACAAGGAAGAAGTGACTGTTCTAAATGTTAATTATTGTTGCGCCCTTTATATTTTACAAGCATGTTAAGAAGATGTCCTTTTTACTTGGTGCACTGCAGATTCACTATTATATTAAAGAAAATGTGTGAGGAAGATAGAATTCGAGCATGTAATGAAAATTTGTTTTCACTAATGAATAATTAAATTTGAACTAATTTTAGTTTCCCTGATTCGTGATATTCAGAATGATTTATCATTACTTGTCTGCAATTGTTTTTACTTGCATATTATAATTTTAGATTCCCTGATTCGTGATCTTCAGAATGATTTATCATTGCTTGTCTGCAATTGTTTTTACTTGCAGATTATGAACAACACTAGAGGTGTTTCAAATCCAAGTGAGCAAGAAATGAGTGCATACTGTGGAAGCATTCAAAAGTCAATGCAAAAGGAGAACCAGCAGGGGGGCTCTCACTCAGGAACAATCCCAATACAAAAGAAAAGGCATGATCAAAACAAACGATTCTTGAACACCAAAGTTGTGACTAAAAAATTGGGGTATATGCAAGTTCCTTGTGAAAAGAAACCTGTCAAATCTACAATCAGGGGCCAAGTTGAACCAATTCAAAAGCTTCAGGATAACAACGAAGAATTCTTTCGTAACATTAATTCTAAGCGACAACTAAGGACAACAATGACACATGAAGTCCAAGAAGTGCCAGAAGAGCATTTCTCTAAGAAGAAAAAACCCAATCCAAAATGTCCTGTGATGTCACTCGATGAGTTCATCAATAAGAATAAGAAACAACATGAGAATGATGAAACTGAATCTGAATATGAGGAAGAAAATGACATGAACGTGGAAGTTGAAGGGGACATCAACCATGAAAGCAATGAGGGTATTGAAGAAAATGGTCCTGCGGGTAATATCATGCCATCATTTAGTTTTCTTTTAAATGTTTCCTTTACCTTGTCTTTGTTTTCTATGTCACATTTAAAAAAAATGTTTCTAATTAATTAGGTGCAACATCAGTAAGAAAACGAGGAAAGACACTATGTCTAAAAGTTCATGCACGAGGCCTTGAAGATAGAAAGGAAATCATTCTAAATGCAGAGGGGCAGCCTATTGGTCCTGATGAAAAGACTCTATCTGAATTGAGCAGTTTTTTGGGAACAATAGCAAGAAGTGCAGATTTATGTCCTCTTATATATACTAATTGGAAGGCTGTGAACAAAGGCCCTATATGGGCTTATGTTAATGTACTAAAATATCCATTATTTCTTCAAATTTATCTATTTAGATCTCTGAATAAATGTTTGTATATTTTGCAGAAAAAATTCCACATTCAAGACAAAGGGAAGAAATATGTATATGCTATCATTAATGATGCTTGGAGGAGACATAAGTACTCTACCAAGAAGGATCATTTTACCAAGTATAGAAGCTTGCGTGAATGTCTTAAAAATCGTCCTAAGGAGATACCAGAAGAGCACTTTAAGGAGTTGATAGAATATTGGAAGCTAGACACCGTAAAAGTAAAATTTTAACTTAACTAGTTGGTTCACTTTATTATTAAGTTAATAATTTGTTTTTGTATACTGGTAACAGGCCATTAGTCATCAAAATTCCCAAAATACATCTCAGCAAAAATGGAGGCATCGAGTTGGTCCGATAAGCTTTGCTCGTATCAGGGAGAGATTGGTAGTCCACTTTCTAAATTTTGACACTAAGTGTTTATTTGTGAAATTTATAATTTTATTAATCTTATTACTTCCTTGTAGCGTGCAAAGAAGGAAAACAAAGAGTCTCCTACTCGAGCTGAAGTTTTTATTGAGACTCGACAAATTAGGAAAGGAAAGAAATTGGATCCAGAAATAAATGAAGCAGTAGTAAGTCTTAGTTAACTGTTTTATCTATTTCCAAAGAATGATCAAAATCAAAATCATTGATTACATTGCATTTTCAAATATGTTAGACGAAGCTCCAAGATTTGATTAAGAATTCTGGAAAGTCTTCAGAGGAAGCATTTGAGAGTGTGTTTGGAAATGAGAAACCAGGGAGAGTACGGTGCCATGGAAGAACTACAACACGTTCTCTCTTGAAAAAAAAGGAAGAACTGGCAGAAATGGAAAAAAGACACGCCACTGAGGTGAAAGTATTAAATGATAAAATTCAAGAGCTAGAGAACAAATGTGCTAGACAAATGGCAGCAACAGATGAAAAATTCAGGCTTCTTCTAACGATGTTAAATCCGAACAAATCTGGAATGGATTTAGGTGCCTTTGCAGCTTTTCTATCTACTACAGCATATACTAACCATGGTTTGCATTCTTCTACATCAACATATGCCCCATGTGATAATGAGGTTCAATTTCTTTTGATTTTATATACTCTTCTATTTTTGCAATTAAAGGCACAATTATCTTCAAGAATTCCTTTGAATGTCTTCCCGATTGAAGTTTTAGCTGAAACTTGGTATGAGTAAACAAGACTTAATGAATAATATGACCAAAAAAATTCATCAAAAAATTCCATCAGAAACCGCGTCAAATGGCGACGGCCGGACAATAAGGACTTATTTGACCCCTTTTATGCAACTTCGAGTACCAATCTGACCCTTACCTCCTATCATAAATATAGCCATACGTCATGGTTAACCCCTTCATCAATCCCAAATCCCTAATTAAAACTACTCACAATTCGTAATTGAAGAATCAACAAAATTGGGATGAGAAGAATAAAATGTCATTAATTAAAAAGTAGGAACTTACAAATAATCCCAGTGTCTTGACTCTTGACAAAATAGCGGAAAACAACGTAAAACTCGTCCATAGGCCTCTCTCTAAATTACGTAACCCCAAAACGGGGATATGGAGGCCTTGTTTATAGAAAACAACGTGCCTACCGACCGTTCCTCCGGAACAAATCTTGTGCATCAGGGTTAGGCACGATCGTGCCTGGATGGCAGTACGGTCTTCCACGCTCTCTTTAGCAGGCACGGCGTGCCTAAGTATTTCCGGCGTCTTGGGCAGCCTGCCATGCACACACGGCGTGCCTAAGTATTTCCGGCATCTTGGGCAGCCTTCCATGCACGCACGGCGTGCCTAACTGTTGGGCATGACCGTGTGTGCCTCAAATAGTCAAATGTGGTCTTTTTCTTCGATTTCTTCATCAAATCATCGTCGTGAACCTCGCGGAGATCTCCAAAACTCTCGAATCACTCTCGAATGCTCATCAACTCATCTCGATTGCTTCTTAAGCGCCGGCGCCGGGCTCTAATTCCCTGATTTTGACTTCAAACAATACAAAACTCGAACCAATGCCCGATAAACCTAACTTGAGCTAAAATTGAGACTTATGACACCTTAAAGCTAGGAAAACCATCAAAAGTTGATACCAACACGCAACAAATGTGTGTTGAAATACAGAAATATCACACACACACACAATATGCAAATATCCATGGAATAGAAATTGGTGATTACGAGGGAGTTGCACAACTATAAGCGGAGTCTCTATATCCCAAATTCCTATTCACATTTAGTATAGAGAAGGTTCTATTGGTATTTTAACAAACTAATACATCAAAAACCACTTTAACTCTTTAACCATAACCACTGTTATTCTACAACATTATCAACTTTTACAAAAGAAATATTCTTTCTAAAATCACTTTAAAAAATCACTTTTTAAAAGCAAAAACAATGCAATTAAACCCTCCCATAATCAAGTTTTGTGAGATAGACTATATAACTAATTAAGTATGTGTGGGGTTGTGACAGTATGAGAAGCACGAGGCAAAGAAATATCCGGAGCATGCGCACGAACACAAGATAGAAGAAGAGGTTGCTGTGGCGGCGAAGAAGGAAGCCAAGAAAGATGAAGAAGAGGCTGAGGGACACAAGAAGCACCACTTCTTTAATGATCTTTTTTCATTAATTACGACAAACATTTGAATTTTGTAATTTATTTAATTTCGATCGTACGTATCTGCTGCATCTTGTTAAGTTTGTGTACTACTGCCTATATAGGGAAAATCACACTTTTTGTATCTGAAATAGTCACCATATTGAAACGTCGGAGCCGTATTTCTGAGATTGTAAATGCCACCCCCCAATTATCCAAAATGAAGTAAATGTGGTCCTTTGAAGTGTGAAATGTACTTCTCATCCACATTGTACATTTCACACCTCAAAGGACCATATTCACAGCAATTTAGACAATTGAGGGGTGAAATTTACAAAGCGGAAAATACAAGTATGACATTTCAATATGGTGACTATTTCAGTGACTAAAAGTACGATTTCACGCCTATATATATAATCCGTACGTGTGTGAATAATGGCCCTCCCTTTAATTTCCGTTTGTGGGTGCTTTGATAGTTTGCTGTAATAAGAGCTTATAAACGCTGCTTTATCCAATAAATAATACTTGTACGTAGTACTCCGTAATATGTGTCATATAATGATTCTTATTTGATCCTATTTATCAAACCTCTTTTACGAAACACCATATGAGATCGGCTAATTTTCATTCGCTCTCTATTAATAATTTGTCTCAAATTTTCTGGTCTAGGTCTGATATATGATATGTTTAAGTTTGATCTGATCTGATCTGAAGTCTGAATTGGTCTGATTTGATACACATCTGATTTCTGTGTATTTTATAAGTCTAGTATGATCTGGTTTGTCTCAATCTAACCTATTCTACGTTTGGTCCGATATGATCTTGGACTAAAAGCATTTCAAGTAATGACATCATAATATTACGAACTAACTTATTAATTGTTCACCAGTTTCACCTATGAGTACGTTTGTCTTGTAAAACATTGTATATTTGCAAACAATAATTGCTTTACTAGCCATGAGCTCTGATTCTGATAAACTTATCACTTACTACTTCCGTCTCTTTTTATTTAGACATTTTTGATCTATTACTTTAACTAATATATTTATGTGAAAATTAATAAATTTAAACTTTTATGATAGTAGTTTTAACAAAGAACATTTTCACACATTTTCGTATTACTGTGTATAATATATAATCAGTCAAAGTTGAACAACTTTGAATTGAAAAATAGTGTTTGGCTAAATAAAAAAGGACGGAGGGAGTACTACGTATTAGTTATTACCAAACTCATCAATCATATTGTCCCACGAGAGTGTACACTCACTTGTATAATACTCAATGTTCAATCGGGTA